CAACGGTACTCTCCGTGACGATGAGAACCAGGCTTGCCAGAACTGTAAGTCTTCTCCCAATCATCCCTGGTCCCTCCTTCTAACACAGACAGGTGGTCAAATCGGACACCGCAAGTACGACTGCCCTGAGCAGCGCAACTTCACCGCCAACATCATTTGTCGCGTCTGTGGTAACGCAGGCCACATGGCTCGCGATTGTCCTGACCGCCAGAGAGGCTCCGACTGGCGCAACGGCGGTGGCTATGGCGGCGGCGCCGGCGGTCGCAGAGCTATTGGTGGCGGCGACGCCGTCGACCGGGAGATGGAGGTAGGATCTCGTTCCTGTATTGTGATTGATCGTTACTAACTGTGACCAGCAACTTATGCAAGAACTGTCTGGCGGCGCTCCTGGAGAGAACGGCCACGTACCCCGTCGCATCGAGGCTGGACCCGATCAGGGCTACGATGACCGTGATGCGAAGCCGTGGCAGCGCGGCCCTCCTGCCAGCGATGTGGCTCCTTGGCAGCAGCGCGGCCGCGACCGTCGCGACGACTATGGACCTCGCGACCATGGCAGTGCGCCTCCCTGGGCCTCTCAAGGTCGTGGCGGCCACGGCGGTCACGGTGGCCATGGCGGCGATTACGGCTATGGCTCGCAGGGTGGCTACGGTGCCCCTGGAGCTCCACCCCCATGGCAACAAGCGCAGGCTGCCCCTCCTCCGCCCCCGGGTGGACAGGCATCGTATGGCTACGGAGGCTATCCCTCTTACCCTGGCATGGGAGCGCCCGGTGCTCCTCCTGGCTTGAGTGTGCCGCCTCCACCCCCAGGCATGCCCTCGATGTATCTTGGCAACAGTGGCAGCCCTCCCCCACCCCCTCCTGGCGAGGGACCGCCTCCTCCGGTATGTTTGCTTAACCGAGGTTGTAGGACACCTGACTAACCTGATACAGCCCCCGAGCGAGCAGCCTCCTCCCCCTCCCCCACCTGCTTAGGGCACTTGCAGAACCTGCAGGACCTTCAGATCATGACGACAAAAGCCTACTGAATTCAGCTGCTGAAATGAACCATGAGAGTTGCTTTGATTTGGGATGAAATTCGACAGGAATCCGCAGGATAGCAGGGCGGCATACGTGGCGGGCGAGTCTGGATTCGACTGGACAGCGTCTGGCCTGCTGCTTTTATTCGTAGTCTATCAAGTGTACTAGCTAATCAATATTGTTCCTTTGTGTTTGGTCCTCGAATTTCTGGTAGTGGAGAATCTAGACAGGTGAAGTGCCGAAGAGCAAAAGCCGGAGTGACGTTTATGGGGCCGGCCCCATTATTGATGCCTAAGGCGGAGACCTTTCTCCGCAATTTCGTGGAGAAGCTCAAATCGATCAATTTTTCTCCTTCAAGGTTGAAAGCAGTCCTCCAGATCGGAGAAGTGATCATGATTCATCAAGTCAAGTAGAGCATTAATTCTCATATCCCCTTTCCAGCCATCCAGTCTTCCAGAGTTAAGGCTTCTTGGCCCCTTTTTTTTGGATCACCAAAGTTTTATCCCCCAGAAACAGATGGAGGGACCCGCCTCTTCTTCTTCATCATCATCATACACCGCAGCCGCCGCAATGACAGGCGGGACCAACACCCACGGAGACCAACCCAGGAGAAGTCTGGGGGATGGAGGAGGAGGATTGGGGTTGGCATCCTCCTCCCCATCTCTATCCCCGAACCTCCACTCCCATCGCAAACCATGGCAATCGCAACCGCAGTCCCAGTCCCAGTCCCGATCCCGACGCAGCTCTTTCCTCCGATCTGGGGGTGAAAGACATCCACAGCAGCAGCAGCAGCATCGCTCCGACCCCGGGGCAAGACACGAACCCCCCTCCACTTCAGCATCAGCGTCATCATCCAAATGGTACCGCGTCCGCTTGTTCCGGGGCATGGTCAAGGACGTCAAACGCCGGGCGCCGTACTATTGGAGTGATTGGACGGACGCGTGGGATTATCGCGTCGTGCCGGCGACGGTTTATATGTATTTCGCTAAGTATGTTGATTCCTTTTGGGGGGGGGGGGGGGGGGGGGGGGGGGGGGGGGGGGGGGAAGTGGTGTGTTTTGTTGGGTTTGGTGTGGTGTGGTGGGGGGGTGGGGGGGGGGGGGGGGGGGGGGGGGAGTTTCGAGATGGATTTGGGACGGGGATGGGATGGAGTTCGAGGATGAAGAGGCTTTTGGCTAAAAACTGACCCCCCGTCGCGTTTTAGTATCCTCCCTGCATTGGCGTTCTCCCTCGACATGTTTGAGAAGACCAACCAGAGCTATGGCGTGAATGAGGTGCTGTTGGCCTCGGTGCTCGGGGCGGTGGTTTTCTCGGTCTTCGCGGCGCAGCCGTTGGTTATTGTTGGGGTTACTGGTTAGTATTTTCTTCTTCTTTTTGTATCCTGGGGGTAGTAGGGTGAAGGGGATTTTTATTGGATCTTCTTGATAATCTGCGCAGTGCTCAGCTGATCTGTCGTAGGTCCTATTACGGTGTTCAATTATACGGTTTATGATATCATCGCTTCGAGAGGCACGAATTATCTGGCCTTTATGTGCTGGATTGGGATGTAAGTCTCCTTATTCTCATTCTCTCTTTCTTGTTTGTGTTCATTCTTTCTTGTTTGTTGGGGCAATGGCACCGTACTGACCACTCAGATGGTCCTTGATCATGCATTGGTTGCTGGCTATCACCAACGCCTGCAATGGGTTGACCTACGTGACGCGCTTCTCGTGCGACATCTTCGGCTTCTACGTCGCGTTCATCTACCTGCAGAAGGGCATCCAGGTCCTGACCAGACAATGGGGCTCCGCGGGCGAGACCTCCGCCTACCTGAGTATCATGGTCGCTTTGCTGGTGCTGATGGCGGGCTGGATCTGTGGCGAGCTGGGCAACAGCAGCCTCTTCCAGAGATTCGTGCGCAAGTTCCTGGAGGACTACGGCACTCCGCTGACCATTGTCTTCTTCACGGGCTTCGTGCACATCGGCCATATGAGGGACGTCGAGGTGGCCACTCTGCCGACCAGCAAGGCCTTCTTCCCCACCGCGGATCGAGGCTGGTTGGTCCATTTCTGGGACATCAGCGTCGGGGATGTGTTCCTGGCGATCCCGTTTGCGGTCCTCCTGACGATCCTGTTCTACTTTGACCACAACGGTGAGTACGCCCCCCCCCCCCCCCCCACAAAATTGCGGTAGGCTAGACGTGGCTGACCACTGGACCAGTGTCCTCACTGATCGCCCAGGGAACCGAGTTCCCGCTTCGTAAACCCGCCGGGTTCCACTGGGACCTGTGGCTCCTGGGCCTCACCACCTTCGTGGCCGGTCTGCTGGGCATCCCCTTCCCCAACGGGCTGATCCCCCAGGCGCCCTTCCACACGGCCGCCCTCTGCGTGACGCGCGACGTCGCCGACGAAGACGACACCAACAAGGGCAAGGCCATCCGCATCACCGACCACGTCGTCGAGCAGCGCGTCAGCAACCTCGCCCAGGGCCTGCTCACCCTCGGCACGATGACCGGCCCGCTCCTCATCGTCGTCCACCTGATCCCGCAGGGCGTCCTCGCGGGCCTCTTCTTCATTATGGGCGTCCAGGCGCTCCAGGGCAACGGCATCACGCAGAAGCTCGTCTTCCTCGCCCAGGACCGCCGCCTCACCCCGGCCGCCAACCCGCTCAAGCGGCTCAAGCGCCGTCCCGCCATCTGGGCCTTTGTCATCGCCGAGCTGATCGGCTTCGGCGCCACATTTGCCATCACCCAGACCATCGCGGCCATCGGCTTCCCGGTCATCATCCTGCTGCTGATCCCCGTCCGCTCGTTCCTGTTCCCGCGGTGGTTCACCGCGGAGGAGCTGGGGGTCCTCGATGGGCCGGCGGCGAGTCCGTTCACGATGGAGAGCGTGGGCGGGACGCACGGCTTGGATGATTCGTTCGGGGGCGAGGGGGCGTTGGCGGGACACGACGGTGGGCGGAGGAACTCGAAGGCCCGCGGTGGTCAGGATACTGGTGTCTTTGATGCGAATCGGGACGAGAGTTCGTCGGAGTCCGTGGTGGGTGATGATCTGGAGAGGGGGGAGGTGTTTGAGATGCAGAGGTCGGCGGTGCGGCGGAGGAGTACCACGGGGGTGAAGGATTGATGTTTTGTGTGCTTTGGGATGGCCAGAGGCTGCTCTGGTTGTTGTTCGAGTGGATGCTGGCTCGGGATAGATGCTCGTGACTTGCTTCCATGGGCCATGAAAGACATAAAATTTAGATTCGACCTAGTTGTATATAATTCTATATCATCGCCGATTGTATGTTGGTCAATGGTTTCTTAGAGGTCTTTTCACATGAAAAGTGGCCAAGGTCTTATCAAGTTGGGCGAGTCCATACATTGGAAAGGACGGTAGCTAGGCCAATCGAACCGAGTGAGGGCTATAGCAGAGTAAATATAGCTCGTATTGCTAACTACCACTTACATGCAACCCAGCCAACCCACACAAGCAGTTCACGCAAGGGTTTGACACTACAGATGTCAGGATATGAGATGCTTAAGGGGTAAGGCCTTGAAGAAACCAAGTCCCATCACAAAAAAGAACAACCATCGACCCCAAAGGACCGAATTGAAGCATGATAGAAGCGCATGAAATCTGCTGGGCCCAACACATCCATATTTTCACAACATGAAAAAACAAAAAGAGAATCCAATGCAAGATTGGACGGTGTCAAGGCCCGAGCCGCGGATCGAACGCGGGACCTCTCGCAGATATGCTTGGGTTTGTATCCCTAAGCGAGAATCATACCACTAGACCACCCGGGCTTGATATATTTTCTGCCTGCTTTTGAGATAATATAATCCAAAATACATGCAAGAATTAGCTTTGCACTGTGCAAAATAGAGTTCATCGAGACCAAAACCTCGCACTAACCGAACACAGTTAGCCTGATACGCCGCCCAGAGCGGTCGGCCTTTCTGCCGTCATATCGACCAAAAAAAAAAAGTCAAGCGCATGCTTCACATTCAATCCAACACACCAAAAACCAAAATGGCGCCCTCACAGTCCCCCGAACCTATCCCGGACGAGTCTGCCTCTAACCACTCCTCGTCCGACGCAGAGAACGAGTCCGAGTCCTCATCCGACGAGGGCGGCGTCACCCTCGATACAATTCAAAAACAGCAGCGCGCCCCCAAGAGAAGACGTCTCTCGGACTCGTCGACCGACTCCTACATCGCCGCCGCGCCGCCGGCACCCTTGCCCACGCTCTCCCGCATCAAGCGCAAGGAGGACGTCGCCAGGGAGGCCGCCACCAAGGCCGCAGCGGACGCGAACCCGGTGCTCATCAAGGATGCGCTGGCGGCGGGGCTCGAGGATGCGCGGTCCTCGTTCACCGACCTGAAGGTGGCGCCGTGGCTGGTGGGCTCGCTGACGACGATGGCGGTGCGCCGGCCCACGGCGATCCAGAAGGCGTGTATCCCCGAGATCCTGGCGGGGCGGGATTGTATCGGAGGCAGTCGCACGGGTTCCGGTAAGACGATTGCGTTTGCGGTGCCCATGCTGCAGAAGTGGGCGGAGGATCCGTTTGGGATCTTTGGGTTGGTGCTTACGCCGACGAGGTGGGTTTATCCTTTTCTCTTAAGATGGACAGAAAGAAGGAAGAAGGGACAGAAAGACAGACAGACGGAAAGAAAGGCAATGCTAACTTTTCGAGGGCAGAGAACTGGCCCTCCAAATCTACGAGCAAATCAAAGCCCTCTCCGCGCCGCAGAGCATGAAACCCCTCCTCATCACCGGCGGCACCGACATGCGCTCGCAGGCGCTGGCCCTGTCGCAGCGCCCCCACGTGGTCATCGCCACCCCCGGCCGGCTGGCGGACCACATCCACACCTCGGGCGCGGACACCATCCGCGGCCTGTCGCGGGTCCGCATGGTCATCCTGGACGAAGCCGATCGCCTCCTCTCCCCCGGGCAAGGGTCCATGCTCCCGGACGTGGAGACCTGCCTCAGCGCGGTGCCATCGGCCGCCGACCGGCAAACGCTGCTATTCACCGCAACCCTGACCCCGGAAGTGCGGGCCCTCCAGTCCATGTCTTCATCTTCCTCATCATCAACGAAACCCCCCATCTTCGTCACCGAGATCACCTCCGCCAACAAGTCCACCATCCCGCCGACCCTCCACCAGACCTACCTCCAAGTCCCGCTGACCCACCGCGAAGCCTTCCTGCATGTTCTCCTCAGCACCGACGCCAACGCGACCAAACCTGCCATCATTTTCACCAACACCACCGCCACCGCCGACCTGCTGGAGCGCATGCTCCGCCGCCTGGGCCACCGCACCACCTCCCTGCACAGCCGGCTCCCGCAGAGCGAGCGCAACGCCAACCTCGCGCGGTTCCGCGCCGCGGCCGCGCGCATCCTCGTCGCCACGGACGTCGCCTCCCGTGGATTGGATATCCCCTCGGTCGAGATGGTGGTCAACTACGACGTGCCCCGGAATCCGGACGACTATGTGCATCGTGTCGGTCGTACGGCGCGTGCGGGCCGCAAGGGTGAGAGTGTCACGCTCGTCGGGCAGAGGGATGTGGCGCTTGTGCTTGCCATTGAGGAGCGGGTGGGGAGGAAGATGGTCGAGTGGGAGGAGGAGGGCGTGAGTGTGGAGACGAGGGTGGTTAGGGACGGGGTGTTGAAGGTGGTCGGCGAGGCGAAGCGCGAGGCTGCCGGCGAGATGGATGAGGGAAGGGATGTGTTGGGGAGGAGGAGGGTGAAGTTGAAGAAGGTGAGGTAGGGGGGGTTTCCTGTTGCTAGGTTCCGCTGTGGAAATATGGGATGCGCCGGGGATTGTACTGTACATAACTACATAGTCTTAAGAAGATTTTGGGAAGCCGGTTCTTATGGCATTGTTTCAGGTTAAGTTAGCTAGGAACAGTAGATGAGATTGGCTCCTGTTGGGCTGATTGCGTAAACACTCGGTAGAGCGAAGCGAAACTCGTTGTGCACAGTCCGACTGCCTACGGTGTCTGAAGATGTCGATGTCGGTCTCTTCTGACCACACATCCTCATCCTCCGAGCATTATTCAAGACTTGGAGCCTCCTTGGAAACCATGCATGTAATCCTGCATTACGCAGCAGACTACTAATAGCGATACTATAAAGAGTCCTGCCATGCTCCTGAGGCCATCGGTCCTGGTGTGTACGCAGACATGGTACAATACACGAGTAGCTCTAGGGCGACTACACTGCCTAGCTCTCATGGGATTGACTCGCTCACCGGACGAATCTGACGGTCACAGTACGCGTGGCATGGTCGAGAGAAGAACATATCGATCTAGTCCTGATTGTTGATGACCAGGTATAACGATCAGACCGCGAGGGCTGGACGGGACTCAAGACGCCTGATGTTTCTGGGGAATGTCGGGCCTTGGAGAGCATGTCGACGACTACCAAGGTCACTGAGTTGCAGGCTGCAGTATAGACGGAGATGTGCTGCATGACTATGGATGCAAAGACCAAGGTCCTCGACGCGTGGGGGGACACGCTACTAAAGAGGGTTTACTGTTAGTTGAAGTTGGGTTTGGTTTAGTTTAGTTTGGCCGGCAAGGAGACGAGCGAGCGAGACTCGGACGCCGACGCGGATTGACCACCACACGCGCGCCGAGCCCACCTCCACCTACCTTACTCTCCGGACATCCTCTTTCTCCTCCTCCTCCCCCTCCCCCTCAAAAGGCCATTGAGTCTTCTGACCGAGTCCAGTTTCCTTGTCTTGACACTCTCCTTGCTTGCCATTCCTCTGGAAACCCGGTTCGTCCTCAAAAAGTTTGGGTGTACTGTACTGTACTGTACAAGTTCCAGCACGTGTTGGTAGTTCTCGCTCCCTCCTGGTCCGAACTACTTTAACGGAGCTACTACTGGAGTACAACACGTCCACCACACACACAAACACTTGCTCTTCTTGATTTTCTTTTTTTTTTGTTACCATCCCCTCTTGTGGTTCTCCTCTAGTACTTCTATCAGGAGTACCCTCTCTCTCTCCCTCTCCACCCCACTCACCATGCATTCCACCGTATCAGCACATACCAGCCCTGTCAAGGACGGCAGGCGGATTCTCGGTGAGAAGACCGTCAACGCGTGCCTGTCCCCCGCCCGCCATCGCCACGCCGCCTCCCTCTCGCCGGTGAAACGTCCATTCCTGGAGACACCGTCGCTCACCTCTCCGTCGAAAAAGCTTCTTCCGTCGCCGCTGTTTGCCGGTCAGAAACGCTCCATTGACCAAGTCGAGGGCCACCGCGAGCATGAGAGCAGTGCCCGCGAGCGCGCGCCGGTCCAGGCACCGGCACCAGCCCCAATCCACGCGCAAATTGAGTCGACGACAAAGTCCTCAGCAACTGCAGCAGATGAACATGTCAGTAATCGCCATAATCCTTTTTCGAACTTCATGTATAGGTTACTAACATCCAGTCGCGTGCTCAGATCCGATCCGACGCGACACAACAACCCATTATTCCTGATCTAGAAACACAACAACAACAACAACAACAACAACAACAACAAAAACAAAACGAAGTCGAACCACAACAGCAGCAACAACAACAACTACCACCCCCGCCTCAACCCAGCGAACTCCCAGCACAAACCCAACCCACCTCCACGCGAGCAGTCCTCTCCGACCCAGCGACGCGCAAACGCTTTATTCAAGAAGTATGTCCCCTCCCCGAAAATGCAACAACTCATCCCAACCCCCAACCCCAGCGAACTAACACCCAAAACAGAAAGCAACCCTCCTTCGCATCCGCCTCCAAACCGCCATGCGTCACGTCCGCGACCCGCAATTCGACCGCCGCCTCTCCGAGCTCGAGGCCCACAGCCGGAAATGTCCCCGACTGACCACCGCCGTCGTCCCCGGATCCCAAACCCCCGTGCCAAAAGACATAACACGTATGGCGGCGGCTGCTGCAGCTGCAGCTGATCCCAAGACCCCGGTCCCGTTCATCACCTCCACCACCCCGTCGAATCTGCAACAACCCGAGCACAATACATCACCTGACAACGACAATAACAACCACGCGTCGGGGCTATCGTCGCCGCCGCTCTCAACAGGGAATGACGCTGCGTCTGCGCTGGAGGAGGATGATGATGATCCGATGAAAACCCCGACGCAGAAGATGTATCGTCATACCACAGGAACAGGGAACGAAGCCTCGCCGATGATGCAGTTGAGTAGTCCGCCTGCGACGGTGTCGCGACGGAGGACGGGGACGGGAATGGGGACCGTGCCCGAGGAGTCAGACGTTGAAGAGGACGGAGTGAGTCTGCCGGAGACGCAGAGGCGGTTATCGCAGAAGGGGGATGCGGTGGATGGGTTGTTGAAGTTGATGGGGACGGCGGAGCAGCAGCAGCAGCAGGCCGAGAAAGCAGAGGTGCGGACGGGGTGATTTCATTGACGGCATGTTGTGCTTGCTTATTGCGCCCCGCGTCAACTGTGGCATGTGGGATAGAACCCCTCTCGAGGATAGCGTTATGCTTGTCTGTCGCCGCTCCGCCGGATATGATCTACCCAGTGTCCAAGCTTGATAGATCAGGGCAATCGCGGCTCTTGCCTGGGACGGAGAGATGAGGCACCGGATTAAATGCCATGCATGTATTGTATATAGAATAAGGGGAACTTAGAGCTATCCGGATGGTAGAGATGGATGGCAGAGCATGCGAGAGAGAGTCAAGTCAATCATGATACCCTTCCTACTTTCACCTTCCTGGTCTACTGTTCTCGACTACTAGGTCTTTGCAATTGAATCATGCTAATTGCGGTGATGCATAGGTAGGTATTTTCGAGAGTGATCCAGCCATTGATGAGGCAGCACTGGCCTGCACCAGGGACTAGTGAATTGTTGCTGGTTGGCCGGTTGCCATTGCGCCAGATCACTAGAGTTGTCATACCCCTCTTACAATCTGAACTAAGATCAGTTAGTTCTTAATACCGTTGTGCTAGTCGTTTCCACCCGTGGGGTTGCATGTTTAGGGCATGTCGCACCTTTGCTCATTTCGCTGCTCGCAATCCGGGAGAGCAACCTACCCGAAGCCGGAGTCGAGGGAATTGTTGTTCAGTCGGAAACCTGATCTGGGGTTTTAATTCGTGATTACTGTGATCAATCCACCGTTTCTGGCATTGTTTTTTCTTTTTGACTTAAACTAAGGACAGTACGTGAGGGGCATGTTGTGCTAAGCTTTGTCGGTGAGCCCTAAGTTAACGGGGCCAGCTGCCGCCTCAGGGCACCTCAGGTGGAACGCATGATTACGCGATTAAGCTTATGAATGAGAGACGACTTTTGCAGGGTCATGGAGTAGGGGTATACAAGATGGATGGGGTTCAACACTTCAGTCAGTCACAAATCAGGTACAGACTGTATGTACATGTGATCTTTACCAGTACTAGGCAAGTGGACGGGGCTCGCAAAGAGCCGTTTCAGTACTGATGGGAGATACTTGACTCAAGGGCATTAATGATAAGATATGGTAGTCATCTTTATCATCATTGACTTCGATACTGTAAAATGCCCAGGCTGTGAGCAGGCAATGGAAAAAGCAGCCACGGATTACCTCAGCTCCATCCCCCCCCCAGCTTTCCCCGCATTTCCCCCTTCCTCCAGCTCTGGTTCTTCTTCTCGAGCTTCTAGAATCTTTACTCAGTTCATTGTCCCCAACTATTCTCATCGAGAATCTGTGACTCTGTGTAACACTCCCAAGCACCTTTCTCGTCCCACAGCTTTGTCGATCCTTACTATTTATACCTCCCCCGCAGATCTGTCAGTGGACGGGGCGGATTGATTGCATCATCATCGGAACTGCTGTAACATCTGATCCATCCCTGAACCTCGCGGCATCCTTCTTTCATCTCCCAGCTGCGGTCAGATGGCATCGCTACTCTTGCATTCCTGAGCACGTCATTATAATTATTCTCGTTGGAACTGGCCAATTCGTAGCAGTGTCTCGACATGCGCCTCTCCCTTGTGCTCATAGCCGCCCTTCAGGCGACTGTGAGTATCGCATCCAGCTTGACCCCTCCGGTTCTGCCCCTGATCGTGCGAAATCCGTATCTCAGCACCTGGCTGGGCAATGCTCGAGATGAGCCCTGGTCTAAATGGCCCATCTTCTACACTGGGGAGGAGCTGGGTTTGTCCCTCATGGCCCAGGTCCCCAGCACAGGCACTGTGTATCCTTTGCTCGGCAAGCCTCATGAATCAGTGTCGGGGTAGGTCATCGTCGCCCCGAGGACGAATTCGATTATTTTGCTAACGGTTCACTCTACAGTGTTTTGCAGATCGAGTATCCTACCTACCTTGGAGCCAATTACGACGCGTCCACCACTAATTTGACCTACCGTATCAACTCCGCAACTACCGCGGCCCATCACCAGCTCGATATCACCGTATCCTTTCTTTCTCCTATCACCCCTACGTCGACTCTGCGGCAGTCGATTCCCGCCTCCTACGTGTCAATCCACGTGCATGGCAACGCAAGCGTAAATGTCTATATGGATATCAACGGACGCTGGGTGAGCGGAGACGCCGGTAGCCAGCTCACCTGGCAATACGATGGGTATGGCTCCGAGGAGAGCAAGCCAAGCTTACGCAGATGGCGTCTCCAGAGGAAGTCTGAGTTGCTACTGTCAGAGATCCGGGATCGTGCGGAATGGGGGACTTTACATTTTACCGGACCGGCTGTGCGTCCTCAGACCCCCATTGAAGGCGGAATTCATCGTGGCTAATGTGCCGACTAGGGCGTCCAATATCA